TACGTTCGTACGCTGAAAATTATAAACTTCTTTTCCATTTCATGGAAAAGTGAAGAAAACAACTACAGCTACTACTATTATTACGAAAATCTTTAAATGTTTAAAAATTTGAATATTCAACCTTGGACCGTACATTTACATTTAAACTAGTCGAAAGACCCTATGGATTTTGGCGATGAGTCTCTCGAACCTAGTACTAATTTACAAATCGAAGGCTCCGTCCCTAAGCTTTCACTACTAGTTCTCAATAGGAAGCATCTAAATTAATATCTCCAAACCTGATAATCTAACCAACTAGAACAAATATCTCAAATGATTTCGTTGCATACTAACAGCTGACTTAATTGTTTAAAAATAATCAACTGTTTTTTACACTCACTTAATAAATTGGTGTTTATAACAGAACCTGTGTGTAAAACGTTTTTATTCAGGCACAACTAACAGTAAACTTATGAGTTCTCTATGTGTTTACATAAAATAAAACACTGTTGTTCTAAATTGTTCGACACAGAAGTAACGCAAGTTCATAAAAGATTATGTTTTAGTAACATCTTCCGAAAATTTACTATTTGTCATTAGTATTTAGTCAATTTTGGAAGGCTACATGTCATTGCAATTACACGTTTATCATACAGTTTTTAAAGTACCAGAAAATTTAAAATTTTTCTATGATAATCTAATTTTTAGGAATGAGATTTTCCAACAAGTGAATCCTATTCTAATCTGTAACTCAATAGAGAATGGATAATGAGTTATCATTCGAAATAGTACAAAATATGGAGGTTTCTACTACATCTGCCCGAAATCTTTTTCTATGAAGAAGGGTATTGACGTAAAGTTCATAATCCACTTACACTAAATATCTAATGCAAGAACAAATTAAACTTAAAACGGAAGAAAGTTTCATAAAAGTTCATAAGCTTCCAGCTATTGATTATTTTTATGATAAGATTTCTTGAATTACGCTGCATTAAATGTTCTGATTCAATTCTTTCTCAATTCACTGTTGTTCCATAAGTATTGACATCTATCTAACTCCAGACAAAGACTCTAATGAGGAAATCATCCAACTAACGCTAAAATTCGTCTTCTTTATTAAACATTAAAGGTCTTGATTACTTTCTAATTAGCACATCCTGATCATAATTTTTTTAAATTTGCATTGTTAAAATGCATGACTGAATTTGATCAATCTATATTAGCTTATGTCAACTGTGTAGATACGTCAGTACTGAACGTAGATAACGCCTTGGGGTTTGAAACGATAGATACTAAGTTTGAGTCTCAGTCCTGAGCAGGATGAAAAGTATGTTCTGTCTTCTAACGCTAACTGCAAGCTAATAATATAATAAAACTATTTATTGATTCTTTAAATTAAATCTTAATTATGAGGGTAACACCAGTGTTTTCAATTAAATATAACTTTCTGCAATAGTTCGTTAACAAAGGATCCAAACCTTTTCTTGAAAAATATAATGATCAAAAATGTACTACGTTTCCATACTCTGGGGAAAGTGATTATAATACAGAGTCGATATTTAACGATTTACCGAATTGTTCACATGTGGCGTCATGCTTGTACAGCTTTGAAAAAAAGCCCTAAACCAAAGCAAAACAGTTATCCTCTGATTCTAGATTTTCTAAATGATATTAACTTGTGATTAAAGTGAACTAGTAAATTAACTTTATAGCCCATAATATCAATCAAGTAATTTTGTTTAATAACAAGATATAGTAGCTTAAATTACAATTTTCTGTTAATTAATCAGCTGACTTCTCTAGAGCCTTATAATAGTGAGTTGCTAATTGTTGATTACATGTTCAGCGATAATATTCACTTACTCAAAATACAAATCAAATTGACTTTTTTAAATATAAAGTACAAAACCTTACTATCCGCGATTCAAATCTTTTAAGGCATAAAAAATGTTCCTCCGATAGGCTACTCGACTAACAGATGCTATGTCTCCGACAAAAACGATTCGGCAAACTTAAACCTTAAGCATCTTACCTCCATTTAGGCAATCTGGGAGTATAATCAATATTTCACACAGTAAAGTGTTGTTATATGAATATCCAAGTGTAAACTAGATTAACGAACTCTTAAAGTTGATATGTTCTAATAAAATACTGACCATTGATGTTTGCATTCACTATCTTACATAAAGATCAAAGAGTTATTTGATATTAAACTCTGTTTACTATTCAGTTAGAAATATATGAACAAATGAAAAGCAATAATTTTCCTTTGAAGTCACCTTTTTTCGAATGTCTAAATGGGAATTGTAAACTGACGAATTTCATACAATTGCCCAAATCAATATTAATTTGGAACTAACAAATTTGTAAAACATCAAATCAAAAGGTATTATGAGAAATTTTTAATCTTCTTATCTTTATTATATTGAGTATATTATGGAACTAAGTTTAATTCTCTTCGCCAAAATTAAAATCTAACCAGTTCTCTAGAAGGATTTATGGTCATTAGAAAACTGATCAAAAATGAATGAAATCCAAATATTGCCTTTTTATATTACTAACATATTGAACTCATATAAAAAATCTATCTCTTCCCTAAATGTTTTCAGTTGATTGCACAGACAGGTGTAGAAATTTCAATTAGTACAGGAACAGAAAACTTGACACTACTTCATAGCGATAACGTTTATCGTCTTACTGTTATTGAATTAATCAAGCGTGATAGCTGGTATTTTCTACAGTATCGTGATTAAATTGATGACTTTTGTGAAGTTCAGGCTTCCAGTAATCAACTTTTGTAAGGTATAAAGTAATGCATTCGAAAACTTAACTTTCCTTGGTGGGCATTTGTTAAAAAAAACAGTTCGAATATCGAACACGAAGAACACATACTCGATAGTCTATTCAAGTTTTAATACATCGCCATAAATAGTGGATAAAAATATCTTTTGTTCAAAGGGTTTTTTATTTTAATGGGAAACTGTAAACTGGTAAAAAAAATGGGATTAGTTTGCTTTGTTTAACTTTTTTGTGTATTATGGAAGGCGTTATTTGTTGTACAGAATAAAATGGAAACGATTCATGCCGGTTAAAGCAGTTTCATTGTCTAAAGGATGAGACAGAAAACTACATCAGGATTCCTGTCGGTCATATCACGCCGTCCCACGCCGATGGGGTTGTGCGATTTCTAGGACCCTAACTACATGGTCGTAGAAGAGTCATCCTACCCAGCTTCCTTACATAGTCACAGACCATCTGTCCACTTATTCCATTCGGTCATAAATTTAGCAAATAATGAATAATGTAAAAAGCGCTGAGACCACACTCGACGTCTTTGGAAAAGTCAAGATGATAACATCAATTAGATGGTCATCACTGCAACCGAACACAAACTGTGGCACTAGTAACATGACACTGCCAAAAGATGTGAGCGATTCTTCGAAAACGACGATGATCGAAGAAATCTCCAGCTAACACCAGACAAGGCTTAAAAGTCTAGTGTAGAGCTGCTGTCACATGTTGCAAACCTGATGTAATGAAGTGAGTAGTGTAAAAGTATAGCTTCCAAAACTATCACCTAAAATTTTACTACATAATTAATCGATACTTGAACTGTTAAATTTTTATATTCTCTTATTTCTGAGTTTCTGCTCGACCCACAAATCATTGTAATGTCTTATTATTCCGAATCACTAATTATTTATTTCTCTACTAGGCGGATTTTGTATCACCTAATTTTAGGGGCAGATATTGTCATTCCTTAATTGTGTAGCTGTAGTCAGGTACTTTAAGTATGTAACTGTACAGGTCTTGAACCATGATTAAATCGTTCAATCGAGGACTGATCTGTTTTCGGCCTTTGACTAAACACTCAGTAAGTAACAACGCGGAACTTAGTATGTCCGTGCATCAGTTTAAGTCGCCACACTACATTAGCACAGACAGATCTAATTGTCGATTCATATCCACTAGTGGTAGAGATAGTGACAGCATCAGCGGTAGTCGAAAAGATTAGGGACCGAAGATACGATTCGAGAAGTATATCCCAATGGAATCAATTTAAATTTTTAAAAAGGGTTATGACGGATTCCAAAGATTAGAATTTGAGGGAAAACAAAGAGTGGGTGCACCTTCGTATTTGCAAACGATCTTGAGCTATGATATTTGATGTCTCTAACCATCGGTTGCCATTGTCTCACGGACCTAAACCTGGTAGTCTATATCTAGTAACATGGCTCGGTCCACTCATCACTGACTTCATGGATTTGTGTCCTGTTTCGGGTTGGTAGCCCCTACCTTCCTTCCAGCCTACCTCTACATTAAACATCGTTCGTCGGTGGTTAGGCATAGGTAACACGGTGTCCAAACCGCCTCAACTGATGAAGATTCACTACTTCATCAATTGGTTTGCCATCCTCCCACAGTACCCTTTTCATAACTGTGGTATTGCTAGGAAAAGGGTACTATGGAAGGATAGTAGATCAGTTTATAAAGTAGTGAATTTTCATCAGTCGAGGTGATTGGGACGTGTTATATGCGCCTAATCATCGAGTGAATGAACACTAGGTTAGAAAGAGGCTCGAGAAGCAACGACCGTTAAGGTCTTGCTTTTTGTTCATTGATCCATGTATCGTTAGGTAAATAAAGTCATCGGTCCTCCTGGCAATATCTGACAGATGATTGGAGTAGAAACATCATAACACCTATCTTGTAGTTACGGCTTGATCACAAGGGCCACAACAGTATCATTCGTCTATTTATCTGTTTTTTCATGTCAAAACCTAACCAAGCCTAGTTGACATAATAGCGCTTAATTGTTAATTTAATATACCAATGACTTTAAGCATCATACTTCTTTTGAATGAAAAAAAAATCGAAATCAACCATTTGAAGCGCATAAATAGCTAGTTATTTTATAATCATCGACCTATTTGCTAAATAAGTTCTATTCATGAAATAGTAAACTATTCAAATTACTAAACTTCATATTTAGTAGTTATTCATTATTTGAAAGAAAATAATTTATTAAGTACACAAATATATTGTAGATTGTATACAAATAGAAAACAATAACAATATGTAAAGTACTCAATTGCGCAATGTATTCAAATACACAATTCTTTAGAAACACCTACACAAGTTATTCATTTAAAAGAGAAAAAATTATTGATCAATTTTAGTCATTAGTGTCTGTCGATAACTCAGGTGAAAAAGACACAAACTAACAAAAATGAGCAAGTCTTAACTAAAAAAATAAATAGTCTCACCGATCTACTTTCTTTTATTTATTTAATCTGCTTCATTCCGTCTTTTTTTCTTTCAAAAAAGAAATTCGCATCAATAACGCACTTTGTGAGTCATCACATCCTTTCACACACAGTAGTTATCCTTCCCTGTATGTGCGCTATAATGCTATATGAAAATAAGAACGATCAGAAAAATATCGACCCGATTTAGATTGTCTGATGCGCAACTAAATATTAATAATACTACTACTACAAATCGATCCTAATGATAAAATGAAAGTTAATCCAATCAAAATAGGCAGGGATGATCATGGATTGAAGGATAATAAACAAATAAACAAAATCATTAGGACTAGATTTAAAAAACATGATATATATGAAAACAATAACAATTTATCGTTCAGTGTAGGCCTATTCCACACTAACAGTCATTTTAGTAAAACATTAGTAAACGTCCAAGTACTAGAAATATGCACGAAAGATTAACTAGACATGATTGGATAGGTCAATTTAATTTGAATGAGTAGAAAGTATTTGATAATCAAGGAAGTTAAACAACAATGTTCATCAATAAAAGTGAAAAATATTTTTAAAAAAAGGTATAAACGATTTTCAAAATATCTTAAATAATTCAATAAAGTAGACTAAAAAAAAAGCAAGGCACGTACATACGCATACACAAGGGAAAAAATGTTTGAATTAATTGCATACATATGCTGAAGTAAAAAAAAAATTAGATCCACAATATGAAAAATGAATTTTCACAATACAAAAACACATAAGATCTTTGTCGAAAAGGTAAACAAACGTTTGATCGATTTTTTAAGTGTTCCACAAAGAAATTGGACATTTATTAATTCTGGCACAGAACACATTGAATAGGATAGCCGCTATAGCAAATAGAATGAAGAAAAGAATACATATCCAAAAGAAGATTTTTTCCCATTTTTCTACCTTTAAATTGCGCAAAATAACTACACCTAATAAAAGACCTAGGAATAGAAAAATAAAGAAAAAAAATTTGAAGAAATAATCGAAAACGTTTCATATTATAATTTAATTTGAAATTTACTTTACTTATTTACGCCTGTTACCCTCAGTGACTTAGTTAGTGAGTGTTGTGTTGTATCAAAGGATTATGCTTTGTCCTTTGTGTATGTTGGGACCTACTGCAGCAGAGGATGCTCGATTCGAAATGGTCTGGATTATCTCGTTGCTGATAATCTGACTGAAATATGATTAATCTATGTTTGATATGGGGCTACTATGTAGACTGCTTCGATATAGCCATTATGACACAAGCTGACATAAAACAGAAGTAATAACATAATGGCCAAATCGAAGCAATCTGCAGAGTATGCCCGTATGCCAACAAAGACTGATCTAATTTCAGTCAGATTATCAACGACATTATCCGAACAATTTCAAAGTGAATTAAATCTCATACCCGTTGCACAAGTGAGTGACTATCTGAACTCGGTAGCTAATTCAATAACGCGATGGCGTTTAAAGCAAACGGTACCAGGGTGAATATTAGCTTTGAGATGCATGTACATACAACTGACGAGTCTCGAATAGGACGAAACGCCCTCCCAGTTGTCATCTCTAACCACATGTCAGCTACTATATTTTTATATTAGGTTTATGAAAGTGACTATCTGAAAAGAAAAATCCTACATTTTCTTACAAAAATCGGTTTCTTAACATAGAAATACATGTACGTGTTATAACACAACCACCATTTGAATTGTGACAACGATGAAACAAAAAAAGAACAAATACATAGTAACTTGATGTCAAACATTTTAGATTGCAATGAAATAACCAACGACATATTCGTTTTTGTAACCGAACAAATACTGATTAGCGCACCTGCCTTCTCGACAGACGTTAAGTGCTATGCCGGTTGCACAGTAGCTAAAATGGAACAACTCAACTCTTGAACTAACACTTCACATTACAGTTATAAACGTACAGTGAAACATGGTAATTTTATACCGGTTTTAAGATGACATTTAGTCTGTTTACAAACAGAACAGCACAACTAAATCCTGTCACACAACCACACAAGAACCAAATAACCTAACCAACTAACTACATCATTATTGAATATCATCAATGAATTGTATTTGTTACTAGCAGTCTTAAAGATCACCGGTAGAATTTCTTACAACTACTCCCAAGACATATAACTAGCTACAACCTTGAAATAATTTGTGCTTTCTTCAAAATCACAACCACCACTGCTGTTAAGGAAACCCACACTCTCCAACTACATTGGATTACACAGTTTACTTAACAAATATAAGTATATGAAACTTTATTTGACAAACATCTATCTAATTAATACAACACACAAGCACATTCAATATGCATCCACTGATCAAAGATTATTTCAGTGGAATTTTTCTGTGAACGAAAAATAAGCTGGATGCATACTTCTTCCAGTATTAATACATATCTATAGATGCACAATTCCAATACCATCTGTCTTTTTTGACCTCAACAATAATAAGACAAATAAACAAATATGTCTGATAAATATCAAAATAGTCAAGTAAAAAAAGCTTTTGAAAATTAGTCCATTTAGAGAAGGTTAAGAAATACCCTACATCTATAAATGACTATGCTGTTTTAGAACTGAAACAATAGGTTTCTTTTCAAACCATCAAGTGCCACAAACATGAAATCGAATTGGTAGTCACTTTTAATTTAAGTCTTATTAACGAGGAAGACACAGCTTCATGAAAATTCTTACGTCAAAGTAACACTAACAGATTGTAATGTATACAATAATTTGTCTAAAATTACCCTGCTGAAAATATCTATCTTCCAAGGCGGTTCAGGTTGGTTATTTTTAAAATTTTGTCTCAATGAAAAAGTTTATTTTCTCATCCTATTTGAATTGGTTGCGGAAATAATTGTTAGTTGTGTGAAAGAAAAATGCTGAATAAACTTATTACCATAACTCAATAGCTGACTACATCATTGCATACTTGGTTTCCAATTGTACACCAACAAGTAAGGTTTACTTATGGAATTTATTTCTAAAGTTGAGCTAAAAAAACTCCACATATCGCCATTTATTCAGCGTGAAACTAAGCATGCACCAGCAGAGTGAACAATAAACAATTTACAAGTATTTGAAAGATTGATTATTAGTAGAAAATGAATAAGTAAGAACAAGACAGTCAGTGCTAAAAGAAAGGAATCAAAATTACCAACCTGCTATGAAGCCACCAAAATGAGCAGAGAAACCAACACGTGTTCTTTCATCTGGATTCTTTAATCGAGCATAAATAGCTAACCCGGTATCACCACCACCTAAAAAGTTTAGAAAAAAGACAACACAGAACATGTATCAATGTCGGTGAGAATAATATAAATTTACAAAACATTACAAAATTTTTCAAAGTAATAACTAAAAGCAATTTCACACTAGCTTTCTAGAAAGGCCAAATTATCCTGATTTACCATTATTAGACACATGTACATAACAATCTAAAAAGTCTCAATACTAAACAGTTTTATTATGGAATGAACAACACACAAACCAAATACAAGAACTAATTTCAATACTGATATTTTACAAGCTTCATTAGTTCCAGTTAACCAGATACCACGTACAGGTCTCGGCAAGTACACTTCAAATGGAACGGCATCTCACACAATTTCGTGATCAAATGACCACTTATTCTTGTCCAAGGCATATTATCACATGGCAATAAAGATTCATAACCATACGCAAATTTATAGATCGAAATAAAATACTTTACATTTAGATCTCATTCTTAAATCATACAATAAATTTAATATAACCACATTCTTCCGAAATCACTCCAACATTTATCATGATGAACGAACTCGTTTATTAAGGTTAAACATAAAGCACATGAAGCTAATGTATGAAATTTAGACACACGACATCACATACATATTCATGTATAGATTATATGTGAGACTAGTGATGTCACCCGATTCCGCCTGAAGCCCCTCTAAAGTCACCTTTCTCTTTCTCCTGGTGGTCGACTGGATAGTGGAGAGGTCGATATCTGAGGGATACCCGAAGTACAGTGGACAGCTCGGATGCAGCCGGACGACCTGGACATCGCAAACAGTCTGGGTCTTCTATCTCACACAAAACAAGAGCAGAAGACTACCAGCGTAGCAGCAGCCCCTCCAGCAGTAGGTCCCAACATACAAAAAGAACAAAGCGTAATACTTCGATACAACACAACATGCATTAACTAAGTCACATTTGATGGAGAAGCTTTGGAGGATGAAAAAACCTTTACATATCTGGGCAGCGTCATTAATGAGCGAGGTAAGTCTGACTCAGATGTGAAGACACGGATTAGCAAAGGGAGAGCGGCATTTCGATAACTGAAGAACATTCCGGACTCAAAGCAACTAGCAACAAGCACAAAGGTCACAATTTCCAATGAGAATTTCAAAACAGTTTTGCTGTATGAGTATTTATTAGTAGTTGTCTACGCAAGATACTGTGGATCCGTTGGCTAGATAGTATCAATAACAACCTACTGTGGGAGAGAACAAACTTGATTTTAGTTGAGGAAGAAATCAAGAAGCGCTGGAGGTGGATAGGACACAACTGCGTCACAAGACAAGGCCGCACTTGGAATCCTCAAGGCCCAAAGAAAAGAGGCGGACCAAATAACACATTACGCCGGGTATTGGAAACAGACATGAATAGAATGAATAGCGATTGGATAGAACTGGAAAGGAAGGCCTAGGACAAAGATGGTTGGAGAATGCTGTTCAGTGGCCTTCATTTTGGGTAGCAAGCGAATGTAAGACAACCATATGAATTTCTTTGAAATCAGACAGAAAAAACTCCGCTTGTTTTCATAATAAAGGTCGATTGAGAAAATGAGAATGCCACACGCAAAAATAACATAAATGTTTATTACTAACAGGCAAAAACTGAAACTGGTGAAAATGGAAGACTTTTTTAAATGGTTGTGTGGTAAACTACTCTAAAAATGAGTATATGATAATTAGAAATCACCAAGTAGAATAATTAGAATTAACTTGATAACACTACTTGATATGAAGTTTAAAGGATTGTCGGCTGGATATAACTAGTTATATTGAGTGAATTCGCAGATAATGCATATACGCGAAGGACTAATCAAAACTCAGTCAACAATATTAACAACGGAATAATTCAAACTTTTTTTAACAATTATATAACGCTTTTAATTATTGAGAGTGTGCAGGCAAGATATCAAAATAATATGCTAGCAAATTGACATGTAATATACAAATATTGAACATCTGGGTTCATCGTAGTCATTCAACTAATTGTGATGACAGCCTATCAACAATTATGTGAATAATTGTGCGGAAAAAGTTCAAATCACAGATTCAGGTGAAAACCTGATTTAGTCATTATCATCTAAATAATTTTGATGATAGTCTATTAATAATTATATGAACAAGAGTATGACAAAAGTCCGAACACAAGTTTTAGGTGAATGAATATTACCTGAAAAAAAAACTAAAATGAACGTATTTAAAACATTTTTGAATGAATCCGATATACTGAAACGTTATACAACAAATATCACGGTTATCTGTGTTATGCTATGTTATGTTATCACAAAAAAATATGGTTTAGAAGTTTATGCTTGAAATGATTGCAATTCACGAAGGAGTTTTCCATAAACAGAACAAGGAACTTCAGTATGTTGACTACTGAAACCATAAAATCGAGAATTGCAAACATTATGGAATAAAGAGCAAGTCGTTCGAGTCTATTAATAAAAGGTATTCGCATGAAAACAGGAAAGCTAAGTACAACTGTATCAACCATGAATTACTTCCAGAAATAGAGGCGCAAAATCATGAGGCGTACGCCGAATTCCAAAGTAGACAGTCTATGTGATAAGAAAAGTAACTCATTTACCAGGCACAGATCCAAATATTCTGTCTTCAGCAACACATTCTGTGTAACAACCAGAGATATCATAAGGAATTCGATGAACTAGTTCGGAATTTCAAACTAACAGCTAGAAATAAACTCAAAGTGCTATATTAATTCGCCTGGCATAGATCAAGCAGATATATATATATATATATATATATATATATATATATGTTATAGAAATATAAATAGGTAAAACTGAGATAGCATCGGTAGAAATAGAAGAATTATTTAAGTAGTATGATGTATGATATATGAAAATTACAACTCACCAAGAAGAATAATTAGAATTAACCTGACCACACCACTTGATATAAAGTTCAAAGGATCTTTCAGCCATCCCTCCTGCATTATATCCCAGTTCTAAAGTATTCAGAAAATAAAACCAAACTTTAAAATCTTATGAGTACTGCTGAACAAAACTTATTCGCGAATGTAATTTTTCTATTCAAACCTAACAAACATAAAGAAAAACGCCTTCCTAAGTACTGACGGACACTTAAGTTTCAGGTAGTTTACTGGTACAGTTGTTATTCGTATTAATATCTGACGAGCTTATTTATATCTGAACGATTTAAAGAACTTAGGATTGAAATATATGAAGCCTATAACTGTCAGTTATATACCTTGGTCAAATTTAACAAAGAAATTAGGAAAATCTCAGTAAATTGTTAATTGTGTGGTTTTCAAGGTAAAAAGAAAAACCTTAATCAAAGAAAACCATTATTTGATAAGAATCAGTTGCGCATTTTTATAGTATTTGCTTAACATTATTTAAGACTCTGATTTCTAAATGACCTGAATTACGTATAATGCTATTTTACAACCAAAACTAAAATGAGCAAAACTCACAGTACCTAGTATATTTTTGGTGTTTTTGGTTAGGAAGAGTAGAACAGTTTGACTATTTTAGTGAGGAGAATGATATAAATAGTTTTTTATAAAGATTGTGTATGATGTTCTTTAATAAGCCGAAGTAATTTACTTGAGTATGCATTACTATTAAGATTCAAACTAAATAATTTTTAACTACATAGACTGTGATAAGCTTATAACTTATGTGTGAATCACTTTCATTCTCATCCACGATTTCCTGACCGATTAGTAACTCAGTCACAGTATGTCAGATATTTTGTATACATATTGAATTTTTTCCCTAATAAAATAATAAATTGGTTGGTCATTGGTTTTGTCATCAGATAGTTATACAGTTCAAATGTATGCATATGTATCGCGAACGAATTATCAGTTCAATCGTCTCGGTCATTGAAGTAATTTACTCAGATCGATAGATTTATCATAAAACGGATCTTATCAAATTAACATAGCCAGTGAATATGACCGAAAGGAAAATTTACATGTACATATCTGCAATGAATAGTCTGTACACAAAATCCCATGTGAAAGACGTACCCATTTAATAAAAATAAATTTCACCTTTTATGTTCCAAAACACTTTCAATTATCTGACTTGTTTTGATTAGACATGACATCTTATAATGATTGGTTGTGCTATCCCAGCCGACGGGCGTCTCAGAATTATTATTAAACGTCATTTAAGGTTATTAGTTCGAATTATAATTCATTACTGGATAGTATTTATCAAATAATATACACCCGAAGTACTCCTGAAACTTAGACTGCTACTGCTCGATTTAATCGGCACTAATTTTGGAGACTTGTCACTGATAAATGATAAACAAATAATCGTTAATTGTTTATTAAACGGGATTTCTTAACATTTACCCACAAACGTGAAAAGTCAACGTACCATTATTACAGTAGCTAAATGAGCACCAATGAGAGCATAACAACCACCACTAGCTCCAGCCAACAAAACAAATGGATCGCTCACAGAATGAGCTAAGGAACCTATAGTAAAAACATTAATAAACAAATCAAGATTGAATAAACAACTTAGCTTTCAAGTAAAACAATAAGGAACAAATAAATAATTGCTTGCCAGATATTAACATCTCAGAATTAATTAAGGCTAAATGAAACAAGAAAAAGGAATCACTGGACGTAAAATTAGATAATACACTTTTCAACATACTAATGCAATGTATCGAACAACAAGTTTTGAGTGGACCTAAGTTTCTAGCCAGTTACTCTGAAGTCTACATTTTGAGGAAAACAGTTTCGTAATTGTTTGGACAACATTTTACAAACATGTATATTTACAAGTAACAATGTGAAAAGTTACCTGAAATAACGCCTAATAAATAAACTAATCCAACTCGCCAAAATTTATGAACGATTTCAAGTAGAAGACCAAGTACAACTTGAAGTAAACAGTTGAAAGCTAGATGCATATAACCATTATGAATAAACATATATGTTAGAAATCTCCATGCTTCATGACGCTTAGTTGGATTATAAATCAATATACTGTCTATTGGAACACCAGATGAAGCTGTAACAATACTGGAAGAGTCAGGATTTTTGCTAAAAGTAACAACGTAGTATATAAAAACTGCAATCTGAAACAACAAAAAACATCAAAGTATAAGCGATCATTATAATGGTACTTATCAAATGTGAACTACTAGGTTATAACCATTATATCCAATATTTGAAACAGGGGTCGATTATTCTAACTATGAAAATCGAATCAAGTGTTTTAAAGATAAACAGGTATTTATGAAGAATTGTAGACTAGATGCCTAACAATGGGATGGATCACGGCAGTCTATTCGAAAATAATTCCATGATAAATACTAGCCAACAGCTGATTTCCAATACGCAGTACATGTTAGACAAAAATGTGTGCAGAGGAAACATTTTTAAGATTTTACACAGTTATGCAACAAATAAGAGGGATACGAAACAAAAGATTCCATAGAGTACTTTACAACCTAATTAACTGCCCCAAAGAATTTCTAACACCACACCGTAACTTAATAGAGTCCAGTCAGTGATTTCACGAGGGAGAAACACTAGAGATGTTTGTGATCGGATACTTGTTTTCAAAACTTCAGTCGAAGTAGCCTATTAGTGCAATCTTTAGATGCTATTGCGTCGCTAATAAACTAATATTTTTTTCAAAAAAATAAAACGATAAACGGTGAGATGGACGAAACTGTATGCATTGAAAAGTTCGGAAATTGTATGTGTACAGCATAAACAATGTACCAAATACAGAAGCATTAAACTACGTACAATTACTGTAATGCTAATGCATATTTAACAAGAATTAAGAAATAACATTCTGCCAGTAGCTATTTAAATTGTAAGTTCGTCCTTAGACCTGGTTTATAAATGTAAACATCTACTTTACGATTTAGTGTTGCCTTCAAGTTACTATCCTGAGAACTTATTTTTTCCTTTACTATTTCTAGTCAGGATAGTGCAGATAGGCTTTCCTCATTGAGCAGTAAATAGAATTTAGAGACACACACAAGAATCAGGTCATGTAGAACTACGTACTAATAGTAAATCAGGAAATGAATTACCTCAGCAACAGTTATCAAAGGAATAAATAAAGGAGGAGGGCGACAGTCATACGCTTCTACGTAATTATCAACATCTGCTTCACCCCAATTGTAAGTATCGACGGCATCATAACCAGAATTTACAGCAACAGTCCTTTGATGCTCGCGTCCACAAACTGGTGCTACTGCTAACACAGCTCGATTAAGAATACGTTTGTGAATACGCAATCTTCGGAGAGTTTTTTCATCTTCGGACAGAACCTGTTCAAATTCAAATCGTAACATAATACAATTCAGCACACAAAACGACCCATAAAAGCATGATAATTCAGTTATTTTGTTACATTACCTAGTGCGATTTCTTAACACTGTCCTATAGCTGCCTTCTATAATAAACACAACTACTACTCAAGAACAATGCTTACAGAAAAATATATGGACAAAATCTAATGTTTCTTACATGAGGTATTATAAAGCGCCATATGATTCGAATATCAATCAATCAATAGCAACGTAAAACTACGTACGTACATCAGTTCATGTTGCCGTACCACATTAGCACAGAAATGTAATTGTCAATTCAAATCCCATAGTAGTAGAGGTAGTAAAAGTATTAGCAATAATCGGAGAGATTAGGATTAGAAGATATTATTCAAGAAGTAGAATCTGGTGAAATAAACTTAAAAAGATAAGGACAAATTGGTGAGGGTGTGAGAGAACGTAAATATTGAAGCATCTGCGCCCTTGCAAACGGTTTTGAGCCATGTCATTCAAGGTCTCTAACCATCGATTATTATCTTCTCGCGGACTCCAACCACGTAGCCTACATCTACCAACACCACTCAGTCCAATTGTCAGTGATTTCATGGATTTCTGCCATGTTTTGGTCTGGCCGCCCCTAACTTTCTTCCAACCTACTCCTACACTACAAAACAAAGCTCGACGAGGCAGTCGGTGGTTGGGCATACGCGACAAATGTTCCAACCACCCCAACTGATGAAGTTTCACTACTTCATTTATTAACCTGCCATCCTTACCTAGTACAGATCTCCTAATAACAGCATTGCTTACTCAGTTGTTCCATGATACACGAGCAATGCTTCAGAGACACCTATGATCAAAAACAAGCAACCTACGAATATCTTCTACTCCTACCGGCCATGTTTCGCATCCATAAAAGAGAACGGAGCGTACTGCTGAGCAATACACTCGTCCTTTACTCAGCAAACAGATATCTTGCCTACACCATCAATGACGCAGGTGGCAAAAGCCAATCGAGCCTTCTGTATCCGTGCTAAGAGTTCGTCGGTCACCAGGCCATCAGCACTGATGAGACTCCCAAGGTAAGTGAAGCAGTCCACACACTCGACTACTTCACTCCCCATCACTAGTTCAGTTACCGATGCAAGTCATTCTTGAAGCAACATTTTGCATTTCAAGGAGGAAAACCGCATCCCCAACATGCTTGCATTGTTGCTTAGGGTGGTCAGAAGACTCTGCATTTTGTCAGGCGTCTTCACCAAATAGAACTATGTCGTCGGCATATTCTAAGTCAACAAGCGATTCTCCTGGCAGGAATTCCACCCCTGAAAATTCAGACGAGGGTAAGGTTATATCTAGGAGCATGTCTATGACAAAATTAAAGAATGGGAAAAGTGAACATCCCTCACGGTCACCACTTGAAGTAAAGAATTCAGATGACAGTTCGCCATAAGCTCTTACTTGACCTGTAGCTTTTATAAGGTTAATGTACTTCTTTGGCACACCTTGCAATGACAGACACCGCCAAAGAACCTCACGATCGACAGAGTCAAATGCCACCTTAAGGCCCAGAAAGACAACTATTGTCGGACGCTTAAATGTATGTTTGTGTGACACGACCTATCGTAGTGTAAAATGTGGTTTATACAGCCACGTTCAGGTCTTAAACCAACCTAGTTTTCTATAGACTGCACTTCACGAGCTCTAGTTTGGAGTCTAAAGAAAATCGAGGCTGACAATTTAGACACTATGTAAGTTAGACTGATTCCTCTGTGATTCGAATATCAAATAGAACAAAAAGGAAATATACAGGAGATATAGAGAAATGTTAATGAGGACCATCGTGTGATATTCTGTACATTATCCAGCTGGTCAGAATGTGACCACAAACAAAATACTGTGCTTTGAAAGGAAAACTAAGTCCCCAATCACATTTTTTGTAGTATATACAATGAAGAAAACCGAAGCAATAACATCAGGTGTCACTTGAAACTCTAAGTTGATACGGTTTCAAGCGCTAGATCCTTCAAACAGATAGAAGGAAACTGAAAGTTTTTCCCCTCATCAACAGTTGAGTGCAGACTACACTACGGATCAACTCAGTTGAGATTTCGTAACAAACCTAATGCGATACTTTCCATGAAGTCAAAATTCATATTTGACCGGAAGAAGCATTATTCTGAACGCTAAAGTAACTGCGCAAACATACTACAAAAGTCAAACTCCATGTTAGTCTATTCCAAATACTCAGTCTGAAATCGTACACATCCGGAACAATTGCATTCACTGGAAGTCAGGACTTCGCCCAACAAAAGCAAACAACTATTCCGACATACTTACACGACCTATACTGCTGTATAAAATTATAATATATCGTGACTTGTGTTTCCAAGAGTAACAATTTGAAATTTGTGCGTCAAACTGCCTCCCAACTAATCCGTGGGCTAACTACAAGCAACCATGATGATGGCAACAACGATAACTGAGTGATTTTCCCAGAGTCGAACTGCACCCATACAACTAAGAGCTAGGTACACACTATATGCACCCAACCAAGGGTGATTAGCAGTCATGCCACCAAACAGATCGTCAGTCAAATTAACAGACGACATCACTAAACAATCGTCCGACCGCACCGAACAGAAACCAATTATTCTATGCCAATAGTTTGCTACACATGATTTTCCCTAGAATACTGTGCATTACATCAGATAACGCACTGACAACATACCAATCTATTACCTTAGATGTGAGAAATACTTACCTGTTTTAGGAACTCATCATATGTGATTAACTGATTACCATCTGCATCCGATGAGTCTACGATATTGTGAATTTTCGATTCTGGTAAATCAGACTTCCCAAGAAGTCTTTTCAAGTCAGCCAAAGGAATACCATCTTTAGTACCATACTATAGATCAACAAAGTAAGTTGGACTTCATTTACCTGATCAAAAGTAGGTTTGAATCGCTAAAGGAAATCTAGTATACATCCAAAAATGAACATACTTTATCCAAATACCTGCGCAGATTCCCTGGCCGTCTACCTGACATTCTGTGTCAAAGAGTGTATATCAACCAGCTTGTAATGAGCGGTTCCGGCCAATTAAGGTCATCACTTCGGCCACAAAATTTTAATGATTCAAATGGTTGCGGACGTAAGAGAAGCAACTTTCGCTTGACAGATATCCGTATCCAGCGATAGTATCGCTGATGCTTTCAGTCGAGGACCTACGTGTAGTGATAAACTGTAATAAAATACTGTTCTCTGTTCCTGTGGATATGTATAGGTAGATAAATCCCCGAAAGAAGTACTTCTGCGATTCGTCGACATTAAGTTTTACCTTGGTAGTTTTGGCGGAAACGCCCTAGATGAAGGTACTCGGCTGATCATGTGCACCAGATCACTATATGGAACGCCGTGTTAAACAACAACTAAGTAGCTCCTATCACACACTTCCAATATCTAATCCAATATCTTTTTCACGAGCTAGTGTAAACCAATTTGATTTCTTCGCGCTCGATTCTTGTTCTTTCGGTACGGTTCCAGGTGTTCGGTAATGTCCAATGGATGGAGGTCTAGCCACTCGACTGTCTAATTCTAGTCAGTTGGCAGTTGGTTGTGAGTTTGTATGTCTCGGGATTTGAATGAAACGTTTGTTTCAGGGCAGTAGGGTTTCTGGATACTAGCAGCCGTCACTTTACCAAACCGGAGATCAGTTAGTTGCAATGTGGAGAGTAATAAGGGTAATAAGGGTAAATTAAAATGATAATATGAGTAAAATTTCAGAACTGAGTAATATATAGATGAATTTAGTTTATTAATTGGTAGTGAAGATTGTGAGAGAGGACCGAAGTGTAAGCAAGGGAGAGGAATAGGCGAGTTAAATTAATTAAGTGATCTGAGGAGATGGCAATGGTAACAACTAGCAGGTCTCAAGATATGCATCAGGCACAGCTTGTCCAAGAGGGAGATGATAGTCCGCATGTGAGTACGTGATTATCAAGTCTCTTCTTAAAGCAGTCCACTGAGGGGGCTGTAACTACCTCGGCTGGGAGAGCATTCCAAGTTGCGACGACTCGCAATGAGAAAAAGTGTGCACGAACCTGAGTGTTTGCTCTTTGATGTGCAATCTTTTGAGGATTGCCTCGAGGGGAGTGGTGGTGATGCATCGGTAAGATGCTCACATTGGGATGGTTGGGCGTGTTTAATATGGTGTACGCCATAATCAGGTCACCTCTGATTCTCCTGTAGCTCAGTGGGAATAATCCCAAGAGCTGGAGTCTATCGTCGTACGGTTTATTTTTCAGCCCTATAACCCATTTGGTTGCTCGTCTCTGCACTCGATCCAAGAGATTAATGTCTCTTTTAAGCAGAGGGGGTGCGATGACGTTGTGAACCTCCAAGTGTGGGCGCGTGTACGTCTTAAACAGGGTTAAAAATAATTTCGGGGTTATAGCACCAAGCTGTCTTCGCATAAAGTGAAGAGTCGCATTTGCCTTGGCTGCATCCCCTACATAGTTCGGACTCATGTGGAGGCTTTCTGTGGTTATTAAACCAAGATCGCGCTCTGAGGAGACATTTGGGAGCGGACTTCCATTGAGAAAGTAGGTGGTTTGCGTCATATGAGGCAGGAAATGCATGACGTGGCACTTCGGTTGGTTAAGTTTTAAACCGTTTTTCGCTGCCCATTCCTCAATGGATGTAAGGTCCTTTTGAAGCTCAGTCGAATCCTCTTCGCTTCTAATGGATCTCCAGATCTTCGCATCGTCTGCGTAGATCAGTGCCGGTGAGCTAACTAAGCTTAGCAGGTCGTTAATGAATATCAGGAAGAGGAGTGGGCCTAGGATGGTCCCCTGTGAGACTCCTGAAGTGGATACTCTCCAACTCGCGTGCACCCTGTTTACCTTGGTGCGAAACTTTCTATTCTCAAGGTAGTTTCTGAGCCAAGATACGAGCGGGTCGGTGAAGCCCATTTCCACAACCTTTTCGATTAGGCGTGCGTGGGGCACTGTGTCAAAGGCTTTTGCGAAGTCGAGAAATACTACGTGCACTGGTATTTTACGGTCCAAGCAGGATGTCCAACTGTCCCATGCGATGAGAAGATTAGATGCACACGACCTGCCTTTCCGAAACCCATGTTGAGCTTCATGGAGCTTCATGAGCTTCACTTCTTAATGTACCGACTATCTTTCTAATATGTCTTAGATATCCTTCATTCCTGACCTCTGTTTTGAATTGGTTTTCGATCCAAATTTCAAAAGGTGTTACAGAAGAAGCGTTACCAAGCCCTGGATATGTCAAGATCTCTCTGTAGGAAGTCGCCTTGATTACGTGAGTCTTCAGTGAATTTTGGAATTTGCTTGCCCCTAAAGGATGGGGGTGTAACAATATATAACTGTACCATGTTCTCCTTTTTTATTTAGAAATCCCTTTCAAGGATCAAACAAAGTATTTCTTTTATTGTCTTAATATATTCTGTAGCTTCAATAGTTTATGAATGAACTCTTCCACACGTTAATATCGTAGACTACATTATTAAGGCCTGTGTTTTCTGGAATACTTTACATTGTGATATTCATTTTACGAAGAAATTATCTAAAGGTTCCTTTGGGGTGTTCTTGATGAGACTATGTTCTCAATATGAAATATCCAGTTTCAGCAAGTGACTGAATAGCAAGATATCTTTCAAGTCGGCAGTGCTTGTGAACATTGAGAGAAAGGGTTTTGGATGCTTTGGTGTTGGATGTATTTTCTATTCGTAAGCCATGAAACAGCTGTAGTGATCTACTTTTAGCAAGTAAACGCGATTGGTTTCATAGAAATATTCATTATTATCACCAATTGTACCAGTGACTGTTTTACTGAAACTGTTTAATACGAGCAAACTTTCAGTTTGTTTCGCTGCCATTTTGGCCCCACAGTCTCTGTAGTTTCGTACCTCTTTTCTGGCACGAAATCGATGTTCTTTCGATACCATGAAATCGTCAACAAATTTGTTAGTTTGTATGGATCAACTTTTTATCTCTGTAACGGGAAAATAATTGGTTGGCTGTGGTAATCTTAGTCATTTTCAACTTGATACGCTAGATCTGGGGAGCGACGACTTTGAACACTCCTAAACTGCTAGAAAATCTTCCAAAGAACCCGATTATTTATCTGTGCACATTTGTTGCATATTTCATATCGATACTTTTTAATATGCATCATACCTGCAAAAACTTTCGAAATGGCTTTAAGAATAACGATGACATTATAGACTTCGAGATACAGGTTATTAATTTCCAACCTGTACCTTTTATCCCTCACGATCCATATGTTTGGTTCGCGTCACTGGAGGTTCATTTCGAAATCCTCCGCATTACAAACCAACGGAGGAATTACACCTACGCTCTGGAAACTTTACCTGAAGATCATAAAGCCGCTGTCCATGAGATTATCCTCAATCCTGATGTCCACGTTTGTATCAAGGAGGTGATTATCAGACATTTCTTCCTATCGAGGGAGGAACGATTGAGGCCAGTATTAGCATGTCACCCACTAAGTGATTTTAAACCGAGCCACCACCTCGAGCACCTGCAGTCTTTAGTAGGAAACACAACAGCAGATTCTGAAGTAGTTAAAGAATTGTGGCTGGAATCTCTACCGGCTCACGTACAGATTACGATCACGGCCCTGCTCGAGGGCACACCCGCTTACCTAGGTTGCCCTCACAGCAGACAAAATACTGGCAAGAACTCGAGCTTGAGACAACGATAAGGTTGTCTTCACGTTACATTCGGGCGTAGATCCTTACGCAAGTCGCTTTACAGCTCACGGGATCGGGTCTCTGCATTTACAACCGCCTCAAGTTACGAGATTGTTCTGTCATCCGAGAACCCGACGTCCCCGAGCTAGGCCGCGATCACGTATAGCCGTAACTACTCACCTCAAGCCACACCTTCCAAGCCACGCGGAAAGGTGGTTGCGGAAGTGAGTACTGGCTCGTGATGTTTCCGCCGTACCTTCGAGTTCGGTGACCGCTATTGTCAATCCCTCTGCCTGTTAAACGTGGGAAACTCTCGTGGTGCCAAGTGAATGCGGCCGTACTCGCTTTCCCCTCACCTCAGGTTGGCTGCTTAACGTGCACGATTATCATACTTACGCTAGGTACCTAGCAGATACAGGTGCCCAAGTTTCTGTTGTACCGATTGGTAACAGCAAGTCTCAGGCTACGATGCTTCGACTACGCGATGCGAATGGCTCAGTCATTCTTACCTATATTACACGACAACTTGCGGTCATACTGAGCAACCGATGACAGTATATGTGGACGTTCATCATTGCTGATGTTCCCACAGCTATCGGTATCGATTTCCTACAGTACTATGAATTGCTAGTCGATTTACGTAGGCTGCAGGTAGTCAATACTTCGTTGAACAGTAAATTCATGGGCTTTAAAGCTGAGACAAATGCGTGTCGAATAACAAGCATTTTTCGTTCGCATGACGATACATTGCACGCTTCGTTTGAGGAATTCTCCCAATTAACTAAACCTCTCGAGGAAATCCTATCGGTGACACTATGGTGTTGTACACCACATCGTCACCCATGGACCACCAGTTACTGCAAAACCTCTCCGACTGGCACCGGAATGATTAGCCATCATTAAACGTGAGTTTGACAACTTACTAGCTACAGGTATTATTCGTCCTTCTCACAGTTCTTGTGCCTACCTATCCACATGGTCCACTAGGGGGTATTTTACCTTGTGAGGACAAGGTACGTACAATTATAGAGTACTACCTACCATCCACACTAAAGGAACTGAAGGCATTTCTCTTTATGGTTAACTTTTACCGACGTTTCATCACACACGCGGCAGAACGGTTACGACCACTAACTGACTTACTTCGCAGTAATCCACGTAAGTTAGAACTAAACAGTGACGCGCGTTCAGCATTCTCAGAGATCATAACAAATATGGCACAAGTCACATTCCTTGCTTATCCTGATCCGTCGGCCAAGCTTAGTAAAGCGGTTGATACTTAAGATTTTGCTACAGGAGCTGTAATGCTGCAGAACATATCC